CTCTTGGGTTTAGTGTTTAAAAGAACCCCGATGTCTGTCGCTACGAATGTCCTGTGGTATACATGCTATTCCATTCAAGGCGGGACTTTCTAGCCACAATATTAAATTAAAGGCCTCGCGCTGCAGGTGCGTAGGCTGTTGGCTTAGGTTGGCCCATCCTCCCTAGCGTTCTGACGCGTGTCTTCGAGTTGAGCAAAACTAAGCTGAATCCAGAAACAGACCAGAAAACCGCAGCAGAACGGTATGAATTCCAATAAAGGGCGGTAAAACCCCACCTTGAATAGGAAAACGTTTACAGCACAGCGAGTTGGCCTGTCCCGACCACCCAGCCATCAGCTGGAGTGGGTAAAGCAAGCTGACCCGTGCCGGCAGTAACCAGCTGACACAATTTGCTGCTTTTCGGCTCTTACTCACCCTCTATTTTTTGGCCCCGGTCATAGTCTGCTTGTACCGGTGCTTCAGAGTATGCATCGCAGTCTGTAGGCTCTGACACCCGGTACATGCAGCTAGAACATCCACACTCACACTGATAAATCTAGTGCTCAACTGGTTAACACTTTGAAGTGCCGTAAACTTGAAAGTGACCAATCCGTAGTTGTGCACTTGTAAGTGTTTAAATCAACGGTTGGACACTGCCAATGTGCTGGACTTACACAACCTGGGCATTAATCGACCAAGAAGTTAAACACTTTCCTGTGTTTTCCAGTTAGCACTCAGTTTAGCAGTGCTAAGCCGAATAGCGGTTAGCATCGAGCTGTACGTACACCCGTGCACCGTGCGCGTACGCGCAAAAATCTGTCTCAATCTGTCGCACATTAGGTATTAAGGCGACAGATATCGAGATTCTACTGTAAAACACTTAACTACCTCTTGTATCCTTAAACTACTCGTGCCACGTTTACACAAATGTCTGCCCAATTCATAGGGAACCTTGGTTTAATTGACTGCTTTTCTTTCGGTTGCGGTTGGACTGGTATACTTTTATAGGTTCTGGTTAGGTTGTGAATTTATTTCTCGTGTTTAAATGGGGCCTTGATCGTAGATGAAGTCCACTCATGGTTTTGATTATTTAAGTCCTCGATTTACGAAAACTGGCCGAATTCATTTATGTTCGACGCTTACGATTAGGCAGGCATTTGCTATGGCTTTGGGCCAAATGTAAAACAAATGGTTATAAAAGTATCAATTAAGCCCAGTAATAAAACTGCACGCAATGTTTAACGCTACACAACTGAAACTACGCATTCGGCCGAAGAGTAACGAGCGTTTGAAATTACTAAAATATTACAAGTTAGGTGGGGTTGGTACGAAATGTATTTACGAGTTAAGATGTGTTAAAATTAAATCATTTGAGCCCTTTTTCGCCTTGTTAATGACGTTACACACACAACCGTTTTGACAAAGAAAAAAGAAAGGTAGAAACTGAAGGTTTACTTAGACTCAAACAAACTAAACAAGAAAACGGCAGAAACGTCGAGATTATCTTCATATTTAACAACATAAGTTTCTTACTGTTATTTGCTGTGTAATTGCAGTGTAACGACATTTCTAACGCGAAGTTGGCCTCATATGTCAGGGTGAGAGGAAGTAGGTAGGATTGTCAAACGATGTAGCACTGCATGATTGAGCACAAGTCCCTCTGCGATCCAAGTAGCAAACATGTCCTCATCAAGCAGAATAATACATTAATGGGGCGTGAGGGCATGTACCTGCGGTAACAATTAGGGCAGTTTCATTATTTTTAAAAGTACAGTGCGCGTCACTGCAGTTCGAAAGCAGCAACACACATATTTTTTAAGTAATTGGTTTTTAGTTTTAGAAAATTCGAACCTTAAGGATTCAAAGAACCAGGATGAATAACCAATGATTACATCTCCTATCTGTTTTAAAGAACTTTCTGAAAATTGAAAAAAAGCACAGATTTACTGCAAATTTAGTTAACTACCTTTTCGTGTTACTACATGCACCGCACAGGCACTCTGTCCTCACTAAGGTTACAAATTGATCCTCGACTTCTACCCGTCTTACAAATGACGTTTTGTATGATTGGGTGGAATTATGGAACTACTTTGGGCTGCGTGAAGAACCAAAGCATGCATCCTACTGGGCAACATGTTTGTTTATATATGTATTTTCTGGATTTTGTTCTGTACGGTAAATAATATGGGGAGTGTTGTAAGTAAAGATGTTTGAGGACGGATTCCCTATTTCTGTTTTATTGTTCATTCTTCTCTCGGTTACTTCAGAGAAGATGGCGGCCACAACCTCAACACTAAACTACGGTTCTCTTTGTGGACCTCGGTTTAGGGCATACATTAAATGATGTGTAACCCAAGAATTAGATGTTACAGAGAAGCAGAGTCTCAGAGTAGGAGAGAATTACGAACGTTGTCCGTATCATACTTCTTACAAACCCATCATGATCTCGGTTTTCAGGGAGAATAGGAGGAGCCTTGCAGGATCTGGGGGCGCCCTGAAGGCAGATTTTCCACCATCCGCCTTGCCTCATTCCGATACTGAGCCGGAGTCATGCCGTTTAAAGCCAATGTGGCCAGCTGGCAGGTCAATTCTCAACCGAAAAGACCGAGTGTAAGAAACGAAACACAAGCCATTCGCAGTTCTCCCACACTCAGAACTGCAAGAACATGATCGGCGCATTTTCTGATTGAGGACTTTTTTAAAAGCATAGACTGCTTTATAACAACAAAAATATTACACCAGAGTGAAGGTTAGTACATAAATTGTTGCCAAAATATACTGGTATGATAATAGTCATATAGAGATCCGCTTATTCGAATACCAGGAAATTAATCGACAAGCATTAACTACTCTAGCATCCAATATTGCTGTACGACCAACAAGCAAACCAAAAGTCGAAGAGGACGAATGATAAATCTGCTTAAGGTACTGGAGGCATTTGTGAGCGCTTCACCTGTTTTTCTTTAAATAAATTTCGAGGAAGCAAGTGATAATTCTCAAATAAAAAATTCCCCAAGCAAGCCGTTGTTTGCTGTAAATTATATAATCACAACATCTTTATAAATATGAATTCTTGAATTTATACAGGCTCCTCTACACACCTCTTCCTGTATAATTGTTATAATACATTGTATGCAGGCGTGCGGGCGTGCACGCTTGCATGCAGTACACTTCCAACAAAATAAAGGAAGGTGTCCGTATAGGAACAATGTATTTGTTCATCCGAGAAATAGAATATTTCTTTCCATTTTAAAATCGAAGATATTAAGCGCAATTTCCTCACTAAAAAAAAGGCCATATGTTTGACTTGACGAGGCATTACAATCTCGACGTCTTTGACATATTTTGTTTGATAGAACTCCGTAGGAAAACAAAGGAAAATGCAATTTTGATAGCGGGAATGAGTGATTTACGTGAATACAGACAGACAGCTTGCGGGGAACTTTCGAGACGCTTCTACCTCAACCTAAAAGATGTCTCGAGAGAATTCATTGGATGTATACGCGTCCAACAGGGAATTCAGCGGAGAGCCGTCCTGCTGGCTGGTATTACTAAGCGCTACGGCGGTCCAATGAAATACCCTCGTGGACCTTAGCTGTCTACAGGAGGTGTAATACTGTTAACAGGCTCTCCTGTTGTTTTACCTATGAGCGGCCTTTCAGAGGTCGGAGGCATTGTCTCGGATACCATATTTAGGAAAAAGGTTAACGAAAGAAGGACAGTCACATCTGTAGAAAACAAGACAAAAAGAAACCTGTAAGCCTAAACATGTGTCCCTACCATAAGGGCCAATCACCATAGCTGTCCCTTGAGCATGTTTATTCCACGCAGAAGTAGGGAGAAAGGCAAATAGGATTTGTGCTTGACCCAGGCTCGGATCACGGCCTGAAAAGTCTTGGCAAATTTACTTGGAAATTCAAGCTTAATGAAAACATCCGAAGATATTCCTTAGCGAAGTGGTAGTGCAGATGCAATTAACTTACAAATACTTTAGTTACAGTTATGGAGTTTAAAGATAGGACAGAACCATTAACAGAGAAAGATTACATGACTGCACTTTTAAACTACTGCCAAGTTAAAAACTGCAAGTAAAGCATGGGGATTGGAATCATTATATTGCTTTTGTTTGCTTATGGCCGTTTTTTTTACATGGAATTTAAAACACCGGAGATGTGAAGGACTAGATTTGAATTGCAAATTTGGGGTTATACGTCTTGGTTTTCTCACAATGACACCTGTATGTATTGCGGATTAGTGTGTATTAGCGCAAGAATTGTACAATGTACACATGCGTGCACGAGCGTGCCCTTCTATGATCTTCTTTCTAAAACACTATTATTGTATTTTTGTTTGTGTTTTTTGTAGCGTAAAAATTAAGCCTATTTCTGTTTTATCGTGCGTTTAAAAACAGAGTTTTATTTATATTTTATTTACACAAATAGTTTATCAGGCATTCGTTTAATTTATGCATTGCAAAGAGGATTATTTAAAAAGTTTTTATGGCTTTTTGCAGCCTTTAGTTTAAGTTCAATCCCAGGGAGGTTGTGAATGAAAAGCAGACGGCTAGACCAAGATTAGAACAAGATATAATGGTTAAAATTCCTCATGGGTTTCTCATGGATACGAGGGGAATTAAGGCCAAAAGGAGATTGCATGGCTAGAGCAAGAGACCGGGGAAAACATAATCTAAAACCAAAAGGAGCCATGGGCGAAAGCGACACAAAACAACAACAGCAGCAAGACGCAGATGATGAGCTTCTCGGCGATGAAGACCTGTGGGTGGTTCAGCCTTCTCCGTGCCGGGGGAGAGACCTTTCGCATCCGTCCGGACAACCCCTGGCCGCGATCCTCTCACTTACCTCCGTGACCAGAGGTGGTACCGGAAAGCGCGGGTCTCCATCCCTGCACACCCTGTTGTGGAGGTGTGTGGGATTGTGTCCGTCAGTCAAGCGTTCGTCGGAATGTTGCCCCTCCTCCTCACAAGTCGCAAGTGGACCTTGGCACTGCACTATCATTGTTACCTAATAATGGAACTGCGTCCGAAGTTGCTGGCATCGTCTCGGCTACCATGTTTAGGAAAACAGTCAGTGATAGAAGGATTGTAACGCCTAGAAAAAGAAAGCAACAACACTGTTTAGGGCGATACTTCCAAAACAACGGCTTTCATGCGTAACCCCAAACCGTCGTCGGTCACGGATTTTTCCGATTCTAACTCCAGATACGTGTTATTGTAAAAATTTCATTAACTATTAAATTTTGTGAAATAATGTGAGCCCCCAGGGCTGATTAGTTGAAATGTACGCATTTTAGGACGGCATTATGTCGTATATTGATTCCATAGTGTCTACTACGTTGAGGTTCAGGAAGAGTTCCTCGGGAGTCCACGGATACCTGTGATAAAAGCTGCAAAACGGCCCATAGGGTGTAGGCCAAAGAATTTTAGTCATTTGCTATAGCCCACAGTAACTAAGCGAGCAAAGAAAATGTCAATTGTGAAATTATCTTTGAAAATGTTAGGGAGAGAGGAAGTATGAACTTTAAACTTCATTTACATATACATTAATTTACAAAAAAAAGATCACCACCACCAGGGTAGCTTTACAGCAGGCCTGATTTATTTTGAAGTAGTAAAGCAGCAAAAGTGTGCTTTCTACGCGTGGCTCTGCCACTAGGGCTAGTGTACTAATGAATTTTATAATTGTAATAAACCGCTCACTTCGCTTACTGATTGATAAGTATTTTTTTAGATCGGCTATTTTGCGCATTTTTTTATTCCAACATTTTCTATGCTCATTGGTTTTGTAATGCATCAAAACTGATAAAATGGAAACATGAATCATAAAACCACTACGACAGTGCAAACTCACAAACAGGGCAGCACATTTATAACACCCACATAGCATGCTAAGCGAAAACATAAAGCACATGGACAAAAATGAAATAGAAACGCGAGAAAAGCAATAGGAAATAAGAAACAAAAAACAATCTACAGCTAACAGTCTGTCATGGTATCGAACCAGTTGCACGTATATTGATCGTTGAAGCTTAAGGTGCTAAAAGGAGGACCATATTGACGATGAGTTTGTTGAGGAAATGGATTAAACAGTGACATGAAAAACATGATAAATGATAGCAATATTTAAATCATGATTTTAACATATTGCCCGTCACCGTAAGTCACTTCTTTCCAGATAAGCGGGCTTTTGAGAAAAAGGCGAGACAGCGTAAATCAAATCTTAAAAAACAGTACTTTTAATTGCATTAGAACGCGAACGAGCTTGACTGCTCTTCCTCAGCCAAATTAAAATATCTGTAGAAAATCTTGTAGATATACTAAGTTATTTCCCGGCACGAGTCTTCCGCCTTCTTTTATTTATTTAGCTTTGTTTAGAATGGAGATAGAATCTCGCCCTATACTTTACAAACCTAGAGTGAGCTTCTCTCCACACTCATGAGGCAACGTGAAACCGAGCAGGGTCATGGAAGAGATGATTACGCAAGGGACGATCAGGTTGATCGTGTAAAACAGCGTCCGACGCCGAATGTGGAGGACGAAAGTCATGTCAACGTAGGAAACGTCTGGGCAGCAAGTGTACTGTCTCATATGGCGAAACGCTGGCATGCCTGCAAGACATCCCACACACACAAACAAACCGAAAAGTGATTAAAACACGGTTAAAAGCGCTAAGGTTCGTGGCCGGAAAAGAAACTGCTATGAAAGTGTAGATGCGCAGAGTGAGAGTCTTTCTAATTCACAAGACTGGCAATCTTGGGAAAAATATCGGGACGACTTATCAACGGGTTTGTACTGCCACATAACGCAATATAACAAATGCGTCCTTTAATGGTGTACAGTAAGGATATGAGTAAAAATATATTAATTGAATTGTAAGTACGAAAGACTCTCTGAGTGTGGATGAATACGTCTGAGCAGTATGGATTTGGTCCAATCTGAATCAAGTTTACCTGGATTGAGTGCGTACCATTGCACACTTTTATATCATGAATCTGGCTCTACGTGATTCGGATCGGTTAATCTAGATGTGTACAAAGAAAAAATAAAACGGTCATTGCTGTCAAAAGCCAACAACACACCCTATGGGTGGCCAGATGACTTTCACACGGCTACACACAGAAAAGAGGCCGAAATGTCAAAAATGAAAAAAAAGCAATCCGGGTCAAATACACGCTCATTTTTAGCCATGCTACTGTGGGCAGCTAATGGTCAGCACAACACTTAGATCGGAGTAGAGAAGTAGAAAATTTGCACTTCCGACGCCTTGGGGGAAGATCCTGTGTTTATGGTATCGGTCTGAGATGTGTTTCTGTTTTGCCCACTTTAACACAAAAAGGCAAGGAAACACAACTCAACGAAGTGCATAGAAGCAGCTAAATGCTGTCAAAAAATGATTTGTGAGTGTTCTTATCACACTTTTCGAGGATGAGAAAGGCTTGATGCTCAGCCAATACCAGATGCAACCCGCTTAGCGTCGAAAGTGTGTGCTAGTTTGGAACGTAGAGAAATTGAAACAGGCACAGCTGGTTTACCTAGTGAGAGCTTCTCGCCCGAGTCCGGCGGGAGCGTGAAACCTAACACGGCCATGCTTGCTATTAGCACGCAAGGCACGATCAGGTTGAAAAAGTAGTAGAGTGTACGCCTTCGGATAATTATGATAAATGTAATATCTATGTACGGTTCCGGACAGCAATTGTAGTATATTTCGTTCCTCTTGCCCGGTACACCTGGAACGGGAGCATAGAAATAGGATAGAAGAGAGTCGAGGCATAGTTCAAGCAGAAAGAAAAGAGTATAGGAAGATGGATGGAGTATGTATCTAAATGTGATACATTGAATGCAAACTTTCCGTCATATCAAGCATGTCATTTTAAACTGATATACTGATGAATATGTCATCTGATTTGATCAGATAAACGAATCTCCAAAAGCAAATTAATCCAAATAACAAGAACTTTACCACACTTATAAACCAAATGTGCAGCTTGTGAACACTTTTGTGTGCAACTGCGATTTGAAATCTTACAAACTTGTGTCAATACCTTTATATTGGAGCACACTGTGCGGGGTGTTCAACAAAGGAACTGCACAGTTACAAGTGTACAACTGCCGAGATTAATAGTTGCAAGTGTTCATTGTTCAACTACGGAGGTGAAATACTGCATGTAAACAATTTGCAGTCGCACTCTGGTTTATCAGTGCACGTCGCGAAATACCACCGTTTCCACATGGAACTAGTGCGATAGATATACGTCGAAACTAAGAGTTTTTCATACAGACGACGTCAATTGAACCGATTTCACCAGGTCTCTGGCTGGGTGAAATAGAACGAAATCTGAACAATCGAAACAAATAATGTACATTTCTGCAGGACAAACACTTGATATAACTGGATGAAGTTTGGGTAAGGAGTACAAAACTGAAAGTTGCCAAACTATGCTCTATTTGAAGTTGTAGTTTTATAGAGGTTAATAAAATGTGAGAGCATAATCGGCAATTTGCAGTTTTGAACAGGTGCAGGTACGCAGAGGACACCATTACGTAGGATACGATCATTGTCGCTATCATTCAAACGGATCTAATCAAAAATAAAGTGCACACCGTTATATTATTGCTATCCACTGCTACACCAGAAAGGTGCTAAACAAAAATATATTGATTCCGTATCCTACGTCTTTAAAAATGTCTCTCCGCTGGCTGCCCACATTTAATTTAAGCCCGTAATTTGAATCACGCAATTCACCTCAAATTACGGGTAACACTTAATATACAATGTTGTATCTACTACCTTCATTGTGTTGTTTAATTTAAAACTGCCATGTTATTTAATCCTTATTAGGAGTTACATTTTTAGCTCGTGGAGAGTAACGCGCTGCGGGGCTAGTGATTAACACACTTACGTGTACTTTGTTCAGTTTAGGGGGCAAGACATTTCCATCATTAAAAATACACGGTGAGTTAAACTGAAATCTAGATTAGTTAAGTGCGCTAGACTTGATTGCACACTGGTCGTGTTTAAGTGGACAGGCCTTCGGTCGACGGCGAGAGAGACGAGAGTAGTTCGACTAGCTACAAGTGCATGGGTAAGAGGCGCAAGCATGGCGTTTCCAGACGTGCTTTTACTTCACTTAGAGATTAATAAAACTTGAGTCGTCAATAGTGCACCTTGGAGTTCGAATTTAGGTAGAGTGATTGTCAAGCGATACTACACTGAAAACAAAAAGGAAAACTTTTCAATTGAATGCAACTACATTAGTGCACATGAAGTTATTTTCTTGATTAACGCCATAAAGCTGCCACCAAAATGAGTGGAAGCGAGGGGTCGCGAAGCTATGCATCCCCGACCGCGTCAAAATAAGTGCCGTCATTACTCAGCTGACCGTGCGGCAGGCCGGTCGACAGCTTTAAGAAAAATGTAACACTATATAGGCGAAACCATATATGTACGCAGAAGGCAAAGTACGAGGATTATTGATTGGTAAAAATATCCAAGGAATAGAGACTTGGGCAGCCTCCAGCAGCGGTTTCATAGGCCACGCTCACGCTACCAACGCGTGGCGGTAAAAGGCAGGACCATTTTCTTTCGTCATGACGTTAAATCGCCCATATTTTAACTAAATAATAATAACCTTTGTACTCCCTCCTATCCGAAATTATGTGGTTTCACCTATTTTAGGTTACTATTTTGTTTAGTAACTGTCGGTTGGTCGGCTGTACGTATACTTTTGGACAAAGTTTAGAGGAAAAAGGGGCTGCGTCGCCCCAGGTTGGATTGTAAATGTGTCCGGCTTTTGCCACGCCGCCGTCTCAGGGCGCGTTACGCTGCAGTTCAACGCGTAGCCGCTTTTTCCGCTGAACTTTGTCCTAGAGCATACGGACACTTTATTTCGAACCTCCTCAGGCTCGGCGACCAAGGAATGGGCGACTGATAAGTCAACCTTACGCTAGTAAGGGGCCTTCAATAAGCTACATTGTCGCCTAAGAACTGAGTTTGGGCTCCCCCTTGATCGCGTGGCCTGGGTTGCCTCGTCATGAATCATCCAGTCTTAAAACGAGAAAAAGAAAACGAAAAGTAGCGTGGCTATACAAAGCTACGAAATGTCAGCAAAAGTATGTTTTAATTTGTTCCCAGCTTGCACG